TTTTAAATACAGGTATATTTTTTTAATTGGTTATACATGTATATTTAAAATTTTTATGTTAAAATTTTAATTTATTTTTTGTAAAGTATAAATTATGCCATTTCTTATTTTTTTTCATTTAAGTTTGAAATTTTAAATGATTTTTATCGACTATAATTGTATTTTTATAATTTTAAATATTTTATTGTTTAATCTATAAATTTATATTAGTGGGGTTGGACATGTGTTCGATTCCTGCTGAATGCATTCTTGGGGAGGGGGCTATAGCCATCACTGCTCCCCCGCACTCCGAATTAGTCCCATAGCCGGCTAAACGAGTCGAAGCTTTTGGGAATACCGACGGGATCCAACTCGCCTCAAAGAGGTAATTAGGGTTGGGTAACTCCAAAAAAAAAATATTAAATTCATATTATTATATATATCTTTTCTCACTGCAGAAATATTAAATGCTGAACTCTTTTGCCACATATCAAGTTTACATAATTTTCTATTTAATTTATTTCCAAATTTCAAATTTATTTTACAATATAAATAATTTTGTTATTTTATAATATTTTTTTAATGTGTTTGTTTTTTTAATACAACATTAATAGAGCTAACAATTATCCATGCAAAAAATAGTGGGATATACAAAAAAAAAGTAGAGGTCTTTTTACTCATAATATACAACAGAATAAAAATAGTGCGACATTAAATGAGTTGTCTGCCACAAAATTTTTTCCCACCATTACAAAGTTAAAAATTCAAATTTAAACATAAATTCGAAATTTAGAAGAGTTGAGTTATTATTAATTTGAAAATTCCAATGTAAAATTGAGTGGGATATTGAATGAGTTGTCTGCCACCAAAAATTTTTTACATAATTTTTCATTTAATTTATTTCCAAATTTTTGATGACAGATGGTCCCCAAATTAAGCTTTTAATTATATTGGACAATTTCCAAAACCATTATTCCTCAAATTAAGCAACGGTTTGATGACAGATGGTCCCCAAATTAAGTTTTTAATTATATTGGACGATTTCCAAAACCATTATTCCTCGAATTAAGCAACGGTCATTAAACCTGAGATCTAATTAATTCCTACATTGAGTAAACAGTAGATTAGATGCAGCGTTTTGATGACAGATGGTCCCCAATACACCATCGTTCCAAATTCAAATTTAAATTCAAAAAATGACAATGTAGAAAGAAAAGAAAAGAAACAGAAAGAAATAACCTGTTAAAATTTGTTGACATATAAATTTCCAAAATGATATGCTATCAGTTGTTAGTATGTGTTTTTTGAATTATTCAATGAGTCGGATTATAATTTTTGTTTACTCAGTCTTTGTTTGAGTAAAATCCAACTTGTAAAATTAAACTTTTAAAAGACGAACCAAAACATAATCAAAGATTGGATTAATCATTTTATTATTAACATTTTTTTTTGTATAAAATTATTATTATTAACATTTATTGCACAACATATAACACTACAATTTTTCTTTTAATATTAATTAACGTCGTTATTGATACTGGAAGATATAACTGATTTTTCAGCAGCAAGAGAGTACTGTTTTTTTCCGCTAGAAGTTTTGAATCAATGTTTAAAAAAACAGTAGGAGAGTGCCACACATCAACATATCAGGAATCCATTGCAAAAAAAACAGCTTTCATAGGGTAGTCCATTACAAAAAACTTTGGTTATGAATATACTATATTAGTTGTCACTTGAACAAAAGACATTGCAAATAAAAGTCATAACAACAACAACAATCCTTTAAACATTTCGTCTCCAAGACACAAAAAAATCATCCTCAAGACATAATTGCCAAATCTACGGGGTGGTCTCATCTGCTTCTGCATCAAATCTATTTAAACAAAGAAAGAAAAAATCAGTGATGAGCATCTCAACTTTGATCCAAATCCAAATCCTACAGAAAAAAGGATGATCCATTAAACAGGGGAAAAAAATAACAACTACAGCGCGAACAGAGTGCACTCTACGTCAAAATATACGTTTTCAATATTTCATAGCAATGATAATACAAACCCTCTTGCAATTCAGATCGCACAATTCACCAGCACTTATCCCCAACAAAGACACACAGTCGCGATCAAACAAAAGAAATGATGCGGAATCCATGTTATCCACAACTCTTACCTGAATCTATCGTTTTGGAAAATTGTATATCAGAAAAAAATATTAAGCATACAGATTAAAGAAAAATTAAAAACCAAGAACAATACATTCACAAAAAAAAGAACCAAGAACAATATATTACCTCAGATAATAATCTTCCCAAGTCGTAACCTTAAATATAGCAATCGCAGGCAAACAGTTCACATCATTCATACAGACTTGATATAATTCAAGAAAAGCGAAAAAACAAAAATTCGATATTTACCTCGCCACAAAGCTTCACATCACTAATAGACTACTTTTTGGTCTCCTTCAGAAAATCATTGTCGTAAGAATAGGAGGACTGAGTAGACAACTGAGTTATCCTCAGACTACTTTTCACACCATCAGCCGAAAGACTATAAAGAGAAAAATCATAACACCATAAATGATTAACCGAATAAATTGTCAAATGAGTTCAAGAATAACAAACACACCATTTTTTGAACTCAATGATCTCTGGCATCTTCGAATCCATGACAATCTTCGTTGTATATTTTGTATTTGTTAACCCAACCTTACCTATAGAGTTGAGTATATCAAATAAAAATCGAAAAGCCAAAAATAAAATAACGTGAATAAAACATAATACAGAAGCATAACGTTTTGTTAAAAAAGATTGTTAAAATCATACCCCTAAAATATTTTATCCTGCCTAGCTGGACTATCATGACGTTATGAGGAGTGTCACTGTTTGCCAAAAAAGATTGGACCTCATCCACATAATGCTCCCACAAAGTGCACTCCAGCTTGTGACCCTTTCATATGAGTTGCAGCAAGAACAACAGTAATACACGAAAAATATAAGCTAACAGAGCTTGACAAAATTACGTAAAATAAATAAGAAGACATAAAATTACGTAATGAAGTAATGTAAAAAAAAAACAAGACGAAAAAGAAAGAAAATCAGACTTTCATTTTAAGTAATGAAGTAATGACAAAAATCTATTGAACTGCAAGAACAAAGTTACGTACTATTATAAATATCACCTAGTGATTGTCTATTGCAGCTGAACTCATTGCGTGTATTGCCTATTTCGGAAAGGCTATAATATCCAAATAATAATAATAATAATAATAATAATAATCAACCGGATTCAATACTATACAAATGAATGGTTATCACTTTGGGGTAAATGAGATAAATGACGAAGTAAACTTGCCAACGGAGAAGGCAGAAATCGGAGGAAATTTTTCTATAGAATATTAGTAAAGTGAATTAGTATGAAGATATTACAGTTTGCAGTGGAGGAATAAGATGAGAGATTATTAAAACTACCTCTGTTTATTATATTTTGCAGAGGAGTTTCTGTTTATAAAACAAACAATGACAGAAAAAAAACCAGTCTTTCATTTTAAGTAATGAAATAATGATAAAGGGAGAGGCAAAAAATGAAGAAAAATGCTCTACAAAATATTGATAATATGAATTAGATATCAAAATGATAATATGAAATAGCTTGCAAGGATAGTAATTGGGTCGTACCAGTCAATGGAAAAGATACATTACAGTCTGTAGGGGAGGAATTACATAAGATATGATCAAAACAACCTCTGTTTCTTCTCTTCTGTGAAGTGGTTTCAGTTTCTGTTGGATGTTTTCTCATAATGTTTCAGGATATACAGCGACTCAACAATGTGTTTATTAGCGCACACATAAGGTATTCATACTTTCTCATTCAAAAAATAATTCTGCAGAAAGAAGATGAGACCAAAAAAACAAACAAACGAATATTCTATAAGCTACTTTTGTGTTTTCTATACTTGCGTCTGAAAAGTCTTTCAAGAACAAAAGAAAATTAACGAATTTCAAATTTCAGAACAGAGAGTCCAAAATTCAATGAATAGCAATAAGATTTGAGTTGTTCAGAATATACCACAATGAAGCCCCAAAAATTAGATTTAATCTGCTCCCAAAAGAAAGAAAGATTTCAGCACCCAAGAGAGAGGAATGCAGATTCGTTCTTGAGTATAGATTTCAAAGGAATGCTTCCAATGTCCAAATCTTGAAGCACAATAGAGTGATTTCGTCTTGCCATAAATTTATCCAGAAATCAAACCATAGAACCACCAACACAGGCACAAAAGATTTAGGGTTCAAGATGATAAAAAATGTTGAAGTGGATTTGAGATTTTTTTGGTGAGAGATGAAGAGAACAATCACTTTACGAATAAAATTTGAGGACCAACATTACAAAGATGAAGAATTTCGATTTTTCAGAGTGATGAATTCTTGGTATGTTAAAAGATGATTTTCGCAAGAAGAAAAATGAATAAAGAAGGGCGCTCTTCTCTACCTTGAATTGTGAGAAGGCGTGTATATTTTGTTAAACGTTTAACAATTCCAATGGAAAAAGTAGGTGAACATTAATTGAGCTGTCAGTTTTTGAAATTTAAATTTTGAACTCCAATATTTAAAATTTGAAAATAAGATGAGCTGTGTGCCAATAAAAATGAGAACAAATCTGCACCATTGATTTGAGATAGCAAATGGTGTCCATCGATTTTGAGTTCAGATTATAATATCTTTTATATTTTTTTAATTTCCTGAATTATCAAAGAAGGAAAATTTTAGATTTGTGTAATGTGAAAGCAAACCTGAAATTGAAGGAGGAGCATACACATGGCAGAAGTTTCCCAAGAATGGGTTTGTATTAGAATATAAGATGTTCCCTCCTCCCATTTATTATTACATTCAATGAGCATCACATGTAGCAACTAACACTACCATTACACGACACAGCGCAATTGAAAAAGTTGCCCTTATAAGTACATCCGCTTCGTGTCACTCGGAATAAGACTATAATAAGTTGCAATAATTCTTGATAATAATAATAATGACGGAGGTGCATGACAATGGTGGCACACAAAACCATAGCCTCAAGAAGTTGCAGATTGTAGCTGTAACGAGTGTGAAACCAGCGAAGGAGACTGAATCACGTCAAGTTCGTCAAGTTTTGGTGAGTGACGATCACAGTGTCCACCCAAGAACCATTGATGGATGCTACCAAATAGTACTGTACTATGAGAAGTTGAATGAGGAGGAACGTAGTTGGTGTTTGGCTGGTTGGATTGTGGAGTCACTAACAAGGGCACTAATGGAGCACCCTCTACTTGCTGGTCGACTCCAAAGAAGAGGGGGGGTTGGTGGTGACACTCACAAGTGCTTGGAAATTGTGTCCAATGATTCTGGCATTCGATTCTTGGAGGCACGGTACCCAACGAGCTTGTCACAGTTTCTCGAGTTGAACAAAAAGGAACATCTTGAGGCCGAGCTTGTTTTCTGGAAGGAAATTGATGACCAGTGTCTTGAGTTCTCTCCCCTTGTTTACATTCAGGCAAATACTAGACTTTGTTTTTGTGCCAGTTCTGTTTATTTTTATAATTCTTATTTTGTTTAATGAAGCTAACACTTTTAAAGAGTGAAATACAAGGTGTTTGAACGTGAAATTTGAAGTTTTTGAATAGATTTGAGGTGCTTGTGTTTTATTTTTTTTCAGGTGACCAACTTCGAATGTGGAGGATACTCTATTGGTATCAGTTGCAGCCTGCTGTTGGCAGAGATTTTGATAGTTGAGAACTTCCTTAAGAAATGGGCTGAAATACACAAAATGTTACCCCAAAATGAAGAAATTAAGACACCCACATTTTACTACCCTGATCTCAAAATTCATGAGCCCCTCCCATCTTACATAATCAGCCAAACTGAAAACAAAAATGGAGTTCTAAGCACGGTATTCGAAGTAACTACCAAGGATGCAAATTTCAGCAAGGAATTAGCCCTGCTTTGTGTTGAGGATGCAGAACGAAAGCTAAACCTAAAAATGGGTTCAGATTTTTCTTTGGTCGTGAAAAAATCATCGGAGATCATCAAGGTAGAAAGTTGCTCCAAGAGTGGATACAATATGCAAGGATTGGGCCTAAAGAACCAAATCACTCGTGCCACGTGGAACGATTTTGGAGCGTACGAGGTAGCATTTCATGAAGGAAATAAGCCTGTCCTCGTTTCTTGTTGGATTGGATTCGTTGCTGATGTTGCACACGTTATGGCAGTCCCATGCCCAAAGGAGAATGCTTTTGCTGTGATTGTAGTTTCACCCCCTCTTGAAATAAAACTCTAAAAACATGTTTTGTACAATAAGGCCGGATAATATAACGTCTGATTAAATTTTAATACCCATCAGTTTCAACTCTTTAAGTCATCTTATATTTAGCACTGTATTGCATTTGATAATGTAATATATAAGATAATATTATTCAGTATTTGATAATGTACTGTATAATAATATATAAAATAAAAATAAATATTTTTAATAAATGTGGCCAGATAATAAATAATTTGTATAATTCTTCCAACTATATCACGTGATATTAATTTGTATAAAAATCTATCCATGAGTATGTAGGCCATCTTTAAGCTGCCTCGATAACAATTTATAATACAATAGTTAGGTTCTCATTTATCCATAACTGTTGCTTGTAAAGTTTGACGTGAACCTTCTTGTCTCCAGCATTTTAAGAAAAATCTTCATTCTCATTTGAACAGGTTTTCTCCTGGACTCAAGGCTCTGCTGTCCATCCTCATTTTCTTCTTCTGGTTGATTTTTTATTTCCATTTTCTATGTATGTTTCGTTGTGGTTGCTTTAGTTAACCAGGAAAACACAATTTCAATTTCATGAATGAATAAGTTATCAGGAAAACACAAAGAAGTCAAAAATCAACAGAATCCACTATTAAGCTGCCACATTGAAGAATATTGAATGCAATATTTCCAAGTAAAATGACAGTAATCAATGCTTCTAAATTCTGGAAGAAACATTGTTCTCCATAATCAGATGGGATAGTAATGGTACCAATTAAATTCCAAGTTGCAAGCTTATGAATAACAAGGAGAGTGACATGTTTACCAATTCCACTTAACCTTTATACAAAAAACACAATATCCTTTTTTCCTAATATATTTTTGCGGGGAAAGATATTGTGACAATCAAGTTGTGTTACTACCAAGTGACTACCAATCAATCTCACCGTTAAATCGATTATGTTGATCCAACAGTTATATTTATATCCATCTTTGTATGGTCATGATTCCCCATATTTAAAGTGAAAGCATTAAATATGAGAAATCATAATCATACAAAGGTGAAAATAAATATAAAATATTAAATTTGAGAAATCATCACCATACAAAGATTGAAATAAATATAACAGTTGGATCAATATAATCGATCTAACGGTGAAATTTATTGGTAGTCACTCGCTGGTAACACAACTTCTTACACTATCCTTCCCCTATTTTTGCTCCTTAAATTTTACGCTGGCCTTGAAAAGGGTCATTTTTGTTTGAAATGTTGAATTGATTATCCAGAGTTTGTAACTAAAGGGGCATTTTTGTTTACCTCATTTTGGTCAACCAAGAGAACAAGAACAACACCTGACAATGGCTGCACAGTGACCCAACCCAACCACCATTCTTCAGAACCTGAAGACCTCCCACATCATCTTGGATCAAAAGGGTAATAGCATCCATATCAGAATGTGATTGCAAACTAAATGTGAGGTCTGGTTTGGGACATGAGGGTAATAGCTAATAGTGATGTTTTGATAGAAATCCCCAACAACATCTTCAATTCACGACGCTCGCAACCCAAGACTCTTCGATATCAAAGCAAGCAACTTTTGCGCCAGAACATTCATCTCATCACTGTACCTCGCCACAGATTCCCTGTAATCGGAGGGAAAATTGGACCACCGATTAGGGTTCCAGCGAGAAAGGGGAAGAGTGTGGTGGTCGAAGTAGTCCCTCCAATCAAGGAGCATGTCTTTTTGTTGCTGATCGGAACTCACGAGTATCCGGCTTTCGTACCCCTCCGCGCGGCGGCGGCAGAGGCGCAGGCGTATCGAAGCTTCTCTGAGATGGGACAGTCGTTGAAGAAGGCGAGACCCATGTGCCGCGCAACGTCTTAAGAGGGTCGTCGGAACGCCGTGATTGGTAGAAGAAAAGGGGCAGAAGGATTATAACGGGCAAGAGAAAGATGAGAAAGAATTAACCTAATTCATCAATCCATTATTACTCCTAATTCCACATTATTTTAATATATTAAGTAATTATATTGTATAAATTTATACTATACAATAATTATATTAAATAACTAAAAATATCATATATATAATATAAACTTATCCTATCATATCTTATAAATTTCCTGAACTGATATTGATTGTACCAATATCATTTGCTTATTGTTAATCTTTGAAAGGTTTGTTTCCCACTTGAGTGATCTGCCAATTCTGAAAAAATTCATCAGCTTGTATGATTGCTAGCATATTAAGAACTTTCATAGATTAATTGCAATTTCTGTAATTTAAAAAAAAAAAGTAATGAAGGTTGATGTGTTAAGAGATGTTCAAATTTTTTGACAAATAACATTTTGAATTAAGTTACTTTAGACTATTTATTGAGTAAATATATTTTTCCACAAATCATATGGATAATTAAGTTATTTCCCTTTGAAATGAAGCACATCTTTTATGCCACAATCTTAGTTAATTAAATTTCAGTAATTTACAAGGCCCCTTAACCTCTTTCACTTATTTACTTTACTCATCTAATGTGATAAAAAAAAAGCTTCACATTATTATGATTTTTTTTATAAATTTATTATTTTCAAACAAAAAAATACTTTTATTAAACCCTATTACATGATTCACATGATAGTATTCGACTAGGAAATAAAAAAAATTATATGTGATTTAACATTTCATATCACGTAAAAAAATCTTAATCTTTTTATAAACAAATTAATGGTAATTATAGATGTGACAAAAAAAAAACGAAAAATAAAGGTTTATTTATCCATAAATAATTGACATTGTTTTATATAACATGATCACATTAAATCATACATAAAATTAACCAAATTGTTTTGAAGGTACTCTGCTAGGTTTCCATGCCCTGCTAGGATTCTTGTGCCCACTAGGGTTTTCTTGCATCACCATGAAACCTTGTGTTGTTCGTGAGTTAGCTATTTATGAGGTTGATAATCTTACGAGGAACAATAAAAAATGCAAAGGCGATGGAACCTTCTCAAACGAATAGACGTTGACCCAAAGGGAGGAACCATGGACAAGGAAACACGAGTTTTAAAGAGATCCTTATGAGACATAACAGTGAATTGGTTTCAGAGGATGGTGAGGGTCCTGAGGAAAAAATTGAAGGAATGATGGATGTCGGTGATCAAGGAGGACGTAATTCATCTACAGGTTTGGAAGAGGTCATTGTAGAATCATGAGATGATGGTAAAATGAACTTTAAGCTTTCAGATGATTTTAGAAAGAAGGTGTTGAGACCATGGAAGCAGACTCTCGTCGTGAAACTTCTTGAAAAAAAGCTCTCAATCAGTTTCATGAAAAAGAGACTCAAAAATATGTGGAAAAGAGATGGTAAAATTCATGTTACTGATATTGAAAATGACTTCTTTTTGGTTCGATTTGAGCGAAAATATGACATGGACTTCGCACTGACCATTGGGTCATGGATTATATTCGATCATTATTTGGCATTCGGTCGTCGGAACCAGACTCTCAAGCATACCAATCATCTATTAACAAGATCACAGCTTGGGTGAGGCTACCGGGATTTCCTTTAGAGTACGTCAACACTCCGCTGATGAAGAGCGTGGTAAACTGGTTAAGTTAAGTTTGCCAAAATCTGCATTGAACTTGATCTCAATCAACCGTTGATGATTTTAATGGTTATGGTTGGCGATTTCAATGACATAATATGTGTAACTGAAAAGAAGGATGGCTCACTCCCTGATAGAGCCAAATACAACAGGTTTGCTGAATTCTTAGATAGTTGTAGAGTGGATGATTTAAATTACATCGGCCCTCACTACACTTGCCAAGGTCCTAAATGGAATAATCTTGTTAGGGTCTACAAAAAGCTTGACAGGGTTTGCGTTAATTTGTTATGGAAGGAATGTTTCAAGTATGAAGTTTTCTAAGTACTTCCAAGGCTCCAATCTGTCCACAACCATTTGTTAGTGAGGATGGCGTCACATAACAAACATTGGCAAGATAAACCATTCAGATTTATTGCATCCTGGTTTGACCACCCGAACTTTAGGGAGTTAATGAAGACCACATGGAATAAGACTGAGGAGATCAACTATATGCTCAATTGTTTTGTGCTTCAACTGCAACGTTGGAAAAAGGAAGTATATGGTAATATAAATAATAGGAAGCTGAAGCTATCAAAACAAATTGCAAATGTGCAGTCCGAAAGAATTATTGCAGACAGTCTAAGACTACATTAGTTGGAGAGACAACTTCAAGCAAGAATGGATCAAACACTTGATCGAGAAGAAATGCTTTGGTTCCAGAAGTCAAGGCACGATTGGATTATTGATAGGCATATGAACATGAGATTCAACATCTAAAAACGGTTATTCAAATGAGCTCTAATAAAATCCATAAACTTCGCAATGAGTGCAATCAGTGGGTAGAAGAGACAAAACTTAAAGAGTCAGTGTAATTTTTATAAATGTTTATTCAATGAAGAGATAACCAACCGAAGATGGATTGTCCCTCCTAATTACTGGGCTGCTATTCCACAAGAGATTCTAGCTGGTATGGTCAAGATCCCTACGGTGTAGGAGATAGCTAGAACAATGCGCACAATGTGGGTCTTTAAAGCGCCGGAACTGGTGGATTTCCTATTGTATTTTTCCAACGGCAATGGGAGAATGTGAAGCTACAAGTTTGTGATGCCATCTACAGATTTTGGGCTAACCCAAACTTGGTTGCTGATATTAATTTCATTCTCCTTATGCTAATACCAAAAACAAAGAAACCTGAGTTTATTTCCAAATTCAGGCGGATTTCATTATGCTCAGTTATCTAAAAACTTCTATCAAAGATTATTGTCCAAAGACTTAAGTCGTTGATGGAGAAGATTATATTTCCTTTTCAAGTCAGTTTCGTGTTGAATAGACAAAACCAAGACAATATAACTATAGTGCAAGCGTTGATACATTCGATGAACAGAATAGGAAAGCTTATATGGCTGTCAAAATTGATTTGGTTAAGGCCTATGATAGGAAAAGTTAGGGTTTTCTACGGCGAACATTGGAAGAAACTCCCCTTCTAAAACACATTGTTAAGTTTATTATGAGTTGTGTCCAAACTTCTAGAATTAATGTGCTTTGT